AAAATTATGAAAAGTCTTCATTTTAAAATGACAAACGTTTGTCTTTTTGATATGCCTTCACTCAAGTAAAATTCATTGAAGTTTCACCATTATAGAAAAACATTTCATAGGTAGAACACAAGAATGATTTAATAAGTTCTATGAGAAGTTCATTTGCATGAGATCAGCACCCAGCATATAACGGGTGGTAATGGATTATTGGTTTGATTTTATACCACTTGACATCAGATTACAATACACTGAATAAATGTTAACCTGTAATCCCTTTAGTAAAAGTGAGCATTGTTTGTCTTGCCTTGTAGAGACCTCATTGATTTTCTTTTATTGGATGCTCAACCACTGCACCTTAGATTGATTACTTTGAATTAAATGTGCAGAGAACATTTTTATTATTCTAAAAGAGCAATCTTAACATTGAGGAGATGCACCTCCTCCCTAACCTCCCTGTACTATAGAATGTACATTCAGCCATAGCCTTTGGATTTCTTTAGTTTCCCACTTTGTTTCAGGGCTGCTGTGATGCTGACCCTGACTCTGCCCCTATAACCCTTGACCCAGACGCATCTGACCAGTCAAGGCTCTGGGGGTGGCAAATTAATAGAAGCCCTGCTTGTTAATTGCATAAAAGAAAAGGCAAAGAATTCATCACCTCAGTCATGGCCATTGCTTCCCTTTGACCCCCTTCTCCCACAAGGTTTTTCCTGGTGGTCACATCTGTGGTTTCTCTATAGCCCACATATTTGCTGTATAATTATTCAGCATCAAACCTTATTAATCAAATCGATGCTGTGTTTTAAATGGAAATTGCAGGATTAATACAAGCATTCATTTCATCCTGAAAATCTTGATGGCTTTAGCACATGGAATCCAATTGGAATATAAAAGAAGGGATGTAGAGACCTGATTGAATTAGTGGAGGCATGGTGCACATTAAATTACACATGCCAGCAGGGTTCCATGCTTTTATGGTAAAATACTGCTTTGGAGCCCATACGTCATATACCTCTTGTGATTCTCTGTGACTCACTAGCAATCTCTAAACCAGCAAGTACGTGAAATATTTCTATATGTTTTTAAAAGATGTTTACAAAATATTCAATATATATTCAATAAAAAATAATATTCTACAACTATCTCGTTGAACACGGTCACAGAATTTATGGCTGAATATATATGTATATTTTCTAGTAAACGGTGCTTGACATTTCTTTATAGAAAGAATAGATGAATCTGTTGCATTTCCTTTCAACGAATCCTTTTTTCTCTAAATAACATTATATAGGATGTTGGTAAAAATTAATTGGATTAATCAATACAAAATTATTTTTATATAGTCAGGAAGCCATTTATGTTTATTTTCCTATGTTTGTTATAGAAAACACATTGAAGATGAAAACTTGAAGACCAGAGGCACCTCTGACTGCTATTGATGAGTCCCACAAAGATATTAGCCAAGCTCAATTGCTTATTCTTTGGGGTTAACCCTGACCTAGTGCTAGATTAACATTAGAGCATCAATATCCCAAGGAAATAAAGTCCAATTTTATTCTTTAGTTCTTCAATGTGAATATTTTGGGGTATTTCATAAGTTTTCTTCTCACACAGAGACTTTGCTAGTTCAGTTTTTGTTTTTAATTTTTTGTCAACAAGAAAAAGGAAGTGAGTGTATTTGTTTTAGCAGCCAGGTTATGGGATGTGGATAATCTGTCTGCACATTTCTGTGTGATAATTTGAAAGGGATTTAAATATAATAGAATTATAATTGTTTTAAAATGACAAAGTTATAAGATAGAAAAGCCATTTGGTTAATGGGATCCAGTTAGGGGAAGTGATGTCTCTTTATCAGAAGTCAGGTATGTTAGAAGACAATCCAAAATTTCCTTCCTTATGCAGTTTGAAACTCAAGCTTTGTCTCAGCTAAAGCAAGAATATAATCATTTTTGAGATTGACCATGATTTTGTGTTTTGCTCTATTTTAAAACATGAATTCAAGATATTTCCACAAAGGCCTCTAGTGATCCATATGTATCATTGGGTATGTTACAAAAAATAGTAATATACTTTAGGAGAACGACCTACTACCTGTCCAGTTGTATGAGCTTTTGTCCTACCCAGTATGATAAAAGGAACAACTTGTGCACACAATGAGAGTTACATTCTGTGTCGCCTCATCCTTGTGACTAGGAGTCTTTGTATAGTGAACAACCTGTACTGCTGTATGTGGACAACCTGCTTTCTCTGGATATACAAGGCATTGTTTACTTGCAACCAGACACTAACTGCCAGATGAGGATGCTTTTTAAAATCACTTCAACAAAAATGGAGGCACAAACTCCTGAGATTGTTCTCATAAAAATATATTTTTCTATGGAGTGCATCTAAATGCTATGTGTCAGCCAGATTTGATCTGAGTTTCTTATACTTCATTTCCTTGTATATATTTTTTTAAAAAAAGTCCTTGTAAAGCCCTTGCCTCTTGCCATTCCTGTTATTCTGCACTTTCACTCTGGAGTCTTTTAAAACACATTTTTACAATCGGAATGTTTTGTTTTCCTAAAAATGTCATCTTAAAATAAGAAAAACTTGCAATATTTTTATGAAAATACTCATGAAATTACATTTGACTATCATGAAAACAAGCTGCTATTGTATATTTTGTGACATAAATGCATGTCATTTTAATTTCCCTTGTCAAATTAAATGATTTTACTTATCAAATATTACACATACTTCATGCTTAGTTATAAAATGTGATTGTAAAGAGTTAGAAGATTTTAATAATAATTTCATGTGCAATACTGTCAGGGCTATTAGTTAGAAATAAATAACATCTGAGTTATTTTGCTCTAATTACCATCATTCATTATTTACATATGACCAGGAGTTTGCTCACACTAGAATAGACAGAACTTATAGTTTCTCATTGTCTTCTAGTAGGAGTTTAGATTAAAATGAAAATTTTCAGGATGAATGAAACTATCAATACAACACCGCACTTTTACATCAGCTTGGCTTGATTTTGCGCGGGAGCAAACCTGAGCATGTGTAACTATGTGTTTTCCACGTTCAGGGGGAGGTTAGCTGTGCGCCTCTCTACAAGATTGATTCTCCAAGAAGTTCTGCTACTCTTGTGTTGCCAATGGTTCAGAAACATCTTAGTATCAAACATTCTTTAATATCAACCATTCAGTAAATAAAAATAATAAATCATTTGTTGTTGCATCTTATTAAGAAGAAGGCAAAAGAATCACTTATCAGTGAGCCATTTGTTTATTTATGAGTAATTTTATTTCTGTAAATAAGAAAAAGAGCTGCTAACTCCGTATTTAATGTGTGGTATGTGTTTAAGAGAGAGGGATAGAGGAAGCTGAAAATAGAGCATGTATAAGGCCCTATCTCAGCATAAATTATGCCAATGATTTCTTCTGCGTGGTAGGACATTCAAACATTTTGTACCTTACTGGGTATATGCATTATTTTCTCTGAGGTAAGCTAAAGTCTATTCCTTCTATTTTTGTAGATAAGTAATTAGAGAGTGTATCTAAGTCAGGAGAAGTGGCACAGAAAGGAAATATTTAATCTTTTCACCATAGTGGGTAGTTTGAATCCAAAGAAAAATACTGCCTGTCTGCTTCTATCATACATTGATCATATCAAAGCAAGTATCCTTAAGTACTCAGTGGGAAAAGCAAACTTGTCATAAGTTGGGGAACAGATGTACAAAGAAAGGTCAAAATTTGAGTGGAAAAAATAATATATATATAGAACTCTGTTTCATGAGAATATGCTTCATAAAGTACAGTGATAGACATCCTAAAAAAATATAAAGATGTTTAGGGCATTCTTTTAGGTTTTGCAATAATTAAACAGTTCATCATAACATTAATTTAGGGTTTATAAACACTTGCCTAGAAAACCTAGAAATGTGTCACAATGCATTGGACAATATGGAGTTAACTACATGAAGTTCACCTGTGGTTTTCTTTACCATTATAATTGTTACATCTCTTGTGTGAATCATTGAAAAAATAAAACATTCTTTAGATTAAGACTCAGTGGTCTCTGAGGGAAGACGCAAACACTGTTTAAACCCATTTATAGTATCAATATATCTTGTTAAAAAGCACCAAAATCTTTAATGCTATCTCAAATTGGATTATTTTCACTAGATGTTTATAAATCTTTGTTAATATGTGGTAAAATAAACTCAGCATTTTTATAAAAATATATGATAAATATCTGAAAATATAGTTTTGGGAATTAGTACCCATTCGCGACATTTTTTTTTTCTCTCCAATTCCGTTGAAAATAAATAGTTTAAATTTTCCAGCTTGTCAAATGATTGATACTATTTGATAGTCATGCTATTCAGTTCTTGTTCTAGGATTATATACCAATGATTTAATTTGATATACTTGGGATGTAGGTGAAAAACTTTATTTAGACAAGCATTCATATTTTTTGGCTTAACTGTGTCTACCCTATGAAAAATGCTCTGTTACAATGCATAATACACATTTTAAGATGCTTTTCCTTCCCATGACTGAAGGAAAGACATTTCCTTTTGCCAGTGTCCTTATAAAACAAAGAAATCTATTCAACTTGTTAATGCATTGGCCCAATGTGGATGTAATTGATCTACATATCATTCTCATGATATAGATAGATTTGTAATATAAAGACACCATAAAATAAGCAACTGTTGAAGAGTAATGTTTTGTTTCCTTAACAGCGGAGTACAATGATCATGAAAAGCATGTTCTAAGAATACAGTCACACAGATAACAAGCCATAAACACAGAATGATGCAGTGAAATCATTTTGAAACAAAAAACTGATAAAAGCCAGGCATTTTTCAAATAATGCATTTCCAAAGTACGGATGATGCTTTATGTTTAACAAGAGCCTCTTAGAAAGTATAAGTGATGGATTTCTTCAAATCGTACACACTGTTCTAGCCTCAATTGCCTGTACAGTGTGCAGAGTAAACAGGACAGAGGAGACCGATGTTTTGATGCTCATCAAGGAATGGTCATGGGGATTGACCAGAGCAATGAGAAAGTTTTGATTTTAATGTGCTGTTTTATAATAAGCTTTTAAGAATTTCAAAAAAAAAAATGAACTGAAGGTAAATACGTCAATTCAGTAATTTTGTAAAGTCTGCGTGTCATGAGTGTCCAGACATTTTTTAAAGAAGGCCCATCAAGATCAATAAGGCATCCTATGATTTTACTGACCTAACAATGCCATAAACTAAAGATTCAGTCCAGGGTGATATCCAACCTTGCACCAGCCCCTCAGATAGCCCAGGACATCTCAGCAAACACTTGAAATGCTACCAAACCCAAGCCGCCACTTCACATGATTCATGATGTCATTAATGTCAAGCTATCAGTGGACACGAGTAAAAGAGACAACAGCAGAGCTGACTAAAAACAAATAGTTTTGATTAAACTCAAGGACGTTCAGTGCAGCTTTCAGCAAAAAGGCATTCATCATTTCCGAAGCTGACCTTGTTTTTTTTTTTTTCTCTCCCTTTGTTTTTTAAAACCCTAAATGCAAGCATAATGTATGCTGATATTCTTGCAGACTCCAAACTCTGTTATATCTGTCCATTCTTAAAGGCAAAATGAATGAAGTAAAAGCTACCACACCTTCTTCTAGGGGCTGATTGAGTAGCTAATTGACCCTTTTTCATAAACTCTCCCTTCCCCTTTCGTTTTATTTCCCTGAAGAATTCTGTCATTCCCCTTCTAAATCATTTCAGAACAGTTGGTTTCCCTACCCCTTTCTGGTTTTTAAAATGTCACTTTTAGATGCAAAAGAGGAAGGACTAAAGATTTGAAATTATAAAAATGTAGGGATACACATGAGGTAAGAGGGAGCTGTAGGTTCTTTTCATGGAGATGGATCCAGCTACAGAGCTGAAAGCCTTGATTTCTAGTGGCACAGATTTTCTTCAGAGCACTGTGTATTTGTCCTTGTGCTCCGAAGGAACACTGCTCCTTTATAGGGGCTCTGTTTAGAACACAACAGTTCTCTGGTAAGCTAAAATTAAAAGATAAAAATATAAAACTCTGGAGGGGAAACAAATGGTATTCCAGAGATTTTGTTCTTCATCAATATCCAATTGGACCGAATCACCTCAGGAAATCTTATTTCATGCCCTTGTAAATGCTGCCATAACTCATTCAAACAACAGGAGGAAACTAACAGTTCAGGCTTTGAAAATGTATTTTAAAAAGTTGTCAGCTGGCTTGTTTTTCTGTTAATGTAATAGGGTTTGCTACTCAAGTACAAATTTTAAGCGTTGGAGTCTTCACCACATATTTCCAATATCTTTATAAACAACTGAGCTTTCATTGTGTTATTCCACAAATCATCTTATTTTGATCATATTACACATTTGAAACTTTGAGGTTGTATCAGCTGATATGGTTTTCACAGGCATTAATATAAAGTAGGTTATATCTCACTATCAGACTCAAATCATTAAAAATACTTAATGCGACATTTTATCTGGACTCGTACTTAAATCAATTTTAAAAATTAGTATTTCATGAGGCTTAAGATGAAAGCTATGGTATTTTCTTTTTAAACGACTGGAATATCTTTTGAAATGTTGCCTCTTGCTAGCTGGAGTCTTTGATTCATGAGCACTTAAAACAATCTTTTCTAAACTAGGTATATTTACTCTGATTAACAAAAACTTTCTGCTGTGATTTTTTTTTTGTGGGAAATAAGACAGACTGTTTTATAAGTATTAACTGTGCATGAGAACATTTGTAATATCACCCTTGGAGAATAATAAACAGATACTAGAGATTGAAATTCTGACATAGTTTACAGAACAATAATCCAAACATCTGTTATAATGACAAGGGATTTGAACAGAATAGAGAGTACATGGGAAAGCTTTGCTACTTTTAGTACAGTTATAATGTTAAATCAAAGCCTTGCAGTCAAGGCAGCCTGCTGCTAATATAAACAATTTTCTACATATTCCTGGGCCCCACGCCAGATCTCAGGATTCAGTTACAAGCACAAGGTCAAGAGGGAATCAACAATATGAAATTACTGCCTATGAATCAAAAGAATAAATGGATAATTAAATATGAAAACAAATTAGGAGATATACTCTCATTTAACTCGCCAAATGAATTTGTCGAGTGACTTTATGTATGGAATTTTTTGTATGAGCAGGATCAGTAGAGGCTTTAATGTACTTATTGATTAAATCTGAGATTTTAGCTTTTTCCCTGAGTCAGACTCAACATATTTTTTTTTCTACATACATATTTGATTCCATAAGAATATCCAACATCTAATCATAACTATGAAGATAGCTATCTAATTGTAATTTTCCTCATGGAACAGAAAAAAAAAAAAGATGCTGAAAAACTGCAAAGTGATATAAGCCACTTTCCCAAAGCCTGAATTTCTAAGACACAATGCTATATGTGGATACTAGCTTGCTAAATGTCAAATTCTTTCAATCCTGTTCCACTTTTGTTGTTAACTATAACATTTTGGCTAAATCACTTTTATCTCCAAAATCTAGTTTCCCATAAAATTCAGGATAGATTAAAATCTAACATGATTTCTGACATCAAACATTTATATAAGTATATACCTATACAAAACCAGAAATTGTGGTTATATACTAACTCAATTCAAAAAAGGGATGACATTGGATCTAATGTTTGGAATCAAAGTGTCTAATGAAAATCTTCAGTCCAATAATATGCCTGACTTCAGCCATGAGTACAAATAACATCACCAGAACTGGAAAAGATGACTTCTTCATTCTAAGTTAATGACCTCTTCCCCGGTGTTCTCTTACGGACAGGAATATGTCAAAAACCCTCTTGAAATCTGAAAGAAAGAAAAATAAAAACTGTAAATTAACAATGACAAAACTTGAGAGTGGAATTAATGTGATTTTCATTTTATTTTTTTTTAAAAGAAGACTAGGGCTATTCCAAGATCAAAACTTGTGAAATCTCCTCTTGCCAGCAGACATTCTATGGAAGCTAGACCTCTTGAAGATATACTTAAATGAGGGTCTACAAAAAGAAGGAGGAGTCTTGGACAGAGTGAAATAGGGAATCAAAAAGACAAAACATCATAAAAACTATTTTACATTAGCTTTGGGTTGAGCTTATAGCATTCATGCAGAGTTTTAAGTAAAACGTCAGGTGGGATCTCTCCTGCTTTCTAAAAGACCTCTTTTCCCAAAAAGGTTTCACAAAATGTAAAAAACAACAAACTTAATTACTAAATTTTAGGCATGCTTAAAGTTTTTCTGCATTACTGAAAAGTTTTACTTGCAAAAGGATAGCTTACTAGTTCCTGTAGAAACACATGCCAGCTTTTCTCATTGAATGCAACTATCAAACTGCATGAAATGCATAAGTAAGAACTGGTAACATTGCAAACCCACTGCTGGCAGGGAGCAAAGGGAAGAACCCAGGAAGTGAAGTACTTCTGAATGAACTAGAGGTTTATGGTGCTGTTTCCACGGCATCTCTCCATGTGAGCATATTGCAGTCCAGCAGTTGGATGTGGGACTTATGGTTCAGAGCTAGAGAGAGTCTCTAGCTCTGTCTTGAGGGACAGAAAGAAAGCTCCTAAATCTAAGAGAGACTAGGGATGGATCTTAAGTTTTCTTCTTGTTTTCTTTGTTCTATTCCACCATACTGTATAGCGGTCCTGCAGCAAGAACTCTAAAGGAAGAGACACTTACTTTCCCTCAGGTGGATCTGTGTCTCCCAGTATGGTGGACCAGACCCTGCTGAGAGTTTTCCTCTTTTTTAGTCTTGTTACTTGATCCTGCAGGCTATGCAAGTTTTTGAAGTGAGGACTGAAAAGTGAAACCCAATGGACTAGAAAGTAAATTATGATCAAAGAAAGGAAGTAGCATGGGAAAGAGGCATTTTTGTTTATCAGTCTTTGGGTTAAACCTTGAACTTTGTTCTAAATGGCAAGCCAGTGATTTCAAGGCTGAGGTAATGGATGGAACTCTGGTCAGATCTCAGGCTGACCACTGAGGTCTGCATATGCAGGGTAGAAAATAACATCAACATTGCAAAGGCTTTAACAATGGATCCAGATGTGATACGTCTATGTATCAACATCTCACTACAAATATATTCCTTATGTGTGGCAAACAAATACCAGTACAAATTTTGAAAATGAAATAAAGATAAGATGATATCAGAATCACAGCTTCTATGAAAAAAATAAGTGGTTAGTATCCCCTATAGAATATAAATAAGTCTCCGAGTTTCAGACTGTAAATATTCAACAATGAATGCAATACAAGCAAGAATCACTTGGCATGTGAAAAATCAGGAATAATCTCAACTCATATGGGAAAATAGAATCAAGAGACACTCAGGACAAGATGACAAAAATGGGATTGAGCTGGCAAGGACCTTAAAGTAGTGTTGCAAAAATACTCCGCTAGACAATCAAGTTGAAATAGTCCATGAGTAATAAAAGCTATATAAACACATGTGTACATGCACACACCAAACTCACAGGCAGATACATAAATGGCTCAAAAAAGGAAACAATGAAAGCAAGAGAGAGATAATTTAATAACGATGTGGTTACTTTGATGCTTATTTTCAATGCTGGATAGTAAAACAAAGCTTAGGAAGAAACAGAAGACTGGAATGATATTATAAACTAACTAGACCCAAATAGAAGATTCCACCAAATGGCAGTAGCAGAATGTATGTTTTCAAGTGCACAGGGAATGTTTCAAGATAGACCATATGCTAAGCCATAAAACAAGCCTCAGTAAATTTTAAAGAAGTGAAAAAATAAAAATGTGTTCTCTAAACATAATAATGAAATTTTGTTAGAAACTAATAAAAGAAGCAATTGGGAAAATCACAAATTAATGGAAATCAAACTTAAAGAACCTGTGTATCAAAGAAGAAATTGCAAAGGATATTAGGACATCTTTGAAAATATTAAAATAATGTAGACAAAACTTATGGGATGTGCTTAAAATAGTATATTACATATTTACAGTTGCAAATGTTTATATTAAAATAAGAAAAAATCTCAAATCAGTGAACTGTTTATTTTAATAATTTAGAAAAAAATCAGCAAATCCAATCCAAGTAGATAAACAAAACTACTCATGATCAATGGACATGAAATGAAATAAGCAGAAGATAGAAAAAAAATCAACAAAACTAAAGGCAAACCTGTAAAGTGGTCAAAAAAATTGAAAAATATCAGATTCACAGTCTCAGAAGGAAAAGAGACACTGAAAATTACTAACTTTGAGAATGAGACAAGGAAACCTGGTGTGGTGGTGCGCACCTGAGATGCCAGCACTCGGGAGGCAGACGGAGGCGATAGGACAGAGATGAATTTCTGGACAGCCTGGGCTACAGAGTAAGCTTAAGGCAAAATTGAACTTTGTAGTGACCTTGTCTCAAAAAGATAAAATAAAAAAAGAACAGAATGGAACAAAACAAAGAAAGGGTACATCTATACTGGCTTTACTGATGTTTAAATTATTGTACTTAAATTTTACAAGCAATAATATGCCAACAGATAGATAAGTTAGGTTAAATGGGCAATTCTTGAAATGACAAAAGATAAAATTGATTTAATAAAAAATATCAATAGTCTTTTTAATATAAAATAGCCTAAATAGACCTATAAAAAATTAGAAATTTCACCACCTAGACAGCTTCGGTAGTGATGTCTTTTAAATATAGAATTCCACAACAGAAAAGTAGATTCATCATGTTTGAGGCTAGCATTACACTGATTCCAAAACCAAACAAAGACATCACAAGAAATCAACAAACCAACGTCTCTTACAATCACAAATGAAAAAAAAAAATTCAGTAACATCTAAAGCAAGCCAAATAAACAGCACACACACACACGTGCACACACACACACAAGAATCATGCACTGTGAACAAGTCATAGTAATTTAGGAGTGTAAGGTTCACTTGACATCTAAAACTTTAAAGAATTTCACTATGAAACAGAAATTTAAGAAGTCTATTGTACTGTTATATTTATATACAATAATAGCAAACATTCTAAAGGTAAATTTAAGAAAGCAATTCAATTATCAGTACAACAAAAAGGAAATAGATGCATACAGAATAAAAGTGCAAGATATTCTTTGAAAAAATTAAAAATATCTAAAGATATCTCATGTATGTGGAATGGAAGATTTATTATCATTAAGATAGAAATAGTGGAGCTGGGGATTTAGCTCAACGGCAATAAGCACCTGTCTTGCAAGCATGCGGTTGTGAGTTTGATCCCCAGTACCAGAAAAAAGATAGAAATGGAACTCAAATTTATCTGTAGATTCAATATAAGCCATCAAATTCACAACTTCTTCTTTCAAAGATATTGAAAAGCTGATATTAAGGTTTATGGAAAAATTCTAAGGATATCAAGTTACCTAAACAACTTTTTTATAAAAGAAAATATTTGAAAGATACATATTTCTCAATTTCAAAATTTCTTATTAGGCAATTATAACCAAGAGGGTGAGACACTCATACAAAATTAGACGTACAGATCAATGACATAGAATTCAGAGCTCAGCAATGAAATTTTTCAGCTAAGAGTGATTAATTGTTGACATGAATGTCAAGTCATTTCAGAGAGGAAAGTCTTTACAAATGTTCTCAGGAAAACTGGGTATCTATATGGAAATAAAACATTTGGTCCATTATCTTATAAACTAAACAAAAATTAATTTAAAATTCATCTCAGATCCAAGTATAATCACTACATTTACAAAAATGTAGAATAAAAACAAATCTTTGTAAAACTGGCTTAGGCAGTTATGTTAGGTATGATACAAAAAACACAAAAGAAAAATTGAATTTCATAAAGAATCTTTATAACTTGACTGTAAAGATATAAATAGAATAATAAAAAGGGCAAAGGTATGAATAAACATTTGTCCAAAGAAGATATACCATCAATTCATATGCACATTATAAAAGTTTCAATGTTATTATTTATTATGGAAGTTCTATTAAAAACACAACAAGTCACCACTGCACATACGTAGGAATGGGAATAATGAAATAGATGAGAATAAGTTATAGTTAGATTAGAAACACTGTAACTGTTGGTAAGAATGTGAAGTGATGTAATATCCTTGGAAAACAAGTTATTTGTTTCTCGTAATGTTAAACATAGAGGAATTACATAATACAACATTATACCTAAAAGAAATGAAAACATTCTCACAAAACAGACTAAGGACTAACATTTAGAATATATAAAGAACTGTAAAAAATTACAGTTTCCCCCAAAATTTAATGACCCAATTAAGCAATGGTATCTGAAATGAATAGGCATTTCTGAGATCAAGAAATACAAATAAATAAATATACAAAATATATAAAAATTGTTTCATGTTACTAGTCATTTGAAAAAATCAAATTGAAACAACACTGAGAGCCCATCTCACTCCAGAAGGAATGGCTACCTTCAAGAAATCAACCAGTAACAAATGGTGACCAGCTATAAGGAGAAAACCTTTCTCCACTACTGAGAATGCAAACTTATACAATCACTATGGAAATTAGTGTGAAGACTCCATGCAAAATTAGTAATTCCACTTTATACAGCTATTCTCCTTGTAGGTATCTTCCCAAAAGAGATTAAAAATATCACACCACGATGGCGTATGCATGCCCATGTTACAGCAGCACAGTTCCTAAGAACTAAATTTCAGAAACAGACTATGTGCCCGGCAGCGGATGAATAGACTAACATGTGGCATTCATAGAGATGCTTTGGTTCTTCAAACACTTTGCTTTGCAAAGGACAACAGTGATGCCGCAGTTCATGAGTTAAATTCTT